ATGTGAAATGAATGATATTGTGCTAAAAATTAATTATGTGAATACATGAACACACAACAGACAACAAGAAAGCATGCACAAGCACAACCAAACAATTAGAGGCAATAATCTATGAAAATGTACAACTAAATAATTTCATATTATGTTAATAGAATGTGTTTTTGAAACCCAACGTGAATTTGTCACCAAAAGGGTTGGTGCAACTTTAGTACATTGAGACTCAACCTAGAGTTGTCACTAGAAGGATTTATACAAAAGCAATTATACTGTTGTAATTTTATTTGGATTATCAATCTCAAATTAGAGAGACCCAGCCTGAAACAAACTGGAAAGCTCAGTTGGATCCTAAAGATCCCACTTTGTAAGCCCAAACAGCTAGGATCATAATAGCAAGATATTTCCATATCGCCGTCATGGTTCTGGGGTCTTTCAACTCACAGGTCTCGACTGTCGAAACTATTTTCCTTAGGGAACAAAACCCTAAGGATACTCTCATAACCTATAAACAATCTTGGTATCTCATGCACTGTAGTCAGAATGATTAAAAGTTTCCCCATAACCAATTTCCTAATTTACTTGCCAAGCATTACCATGTATTAGACTAATGTTACTGATTCTCTCAAGACCCATATTCATTGTACATCCATCAGTCCATGCATGCATTTGTCATTTTATTAATATAACTGGCCCACAAATTTATCAATTTACAAACAAAACCAGTGCATTAACATTAATCCATGCTTTCATTGATTATAAATATGGTAATTAAGAATCAAAATTGTAATATCCGTTGAATGAAAACCACTAATTTTAATTGAACAGGGAAAGTATATATATATATATATATATATATATATATATATATATATATATATATATATATATATTGTGGGCGGCTAGTCAGATAATTTTGTAAATTGAAAACCAAAGAACAACCAAACAAAAGTGATATTACTATTTTATAGGAGGGTAAGTCAATTCTACATTTTCTAATTATTGAATTAACACCCAAAACCTATAATTAGTAATGTCTATAAATATATAGAGTCATGACCTGTCTGGTCCCCATTAATAGAGAGTGCTGGGAGGGATGGACTAAGATAGACCTAACTTTTGGCATTATTTTCATTTTGCACAAAGTGGCTGTTCTCGGATAATAATTCTATACATAAGTATTCGCTATATATACATGTATATATTACTTACATAGAAGGTATAAGATCAACATTCAATTTATCTACTACACTCCCAATTAATTCAGCAAAGGAATTTCTCTTGAAATATGCGAGGCACACAAAATGAGGAAAGGTCAATCCCCGGTCAACGGGGTTGGATTGAACTGAAACCAATCCATCAGGGCAGACTTGGCACACGGTTTCAAGTAGACCCAACCAGACCGCCACAACCCTCAAATGCCCACACTCTCCAGGCATGCAGACGGGGTTCTGCTGGACACTGGACATGGCTAGGTCTTCATCCTCTGAGCTGCAATCAGTCTATACATTTGAATACTGAAATTTCCACCGGCTATCCTTTAATTCATTACTAATAAATTCTAATTTCAAACCCAAACTGTAGGAATTGTTCACATATATTCATTAAAAGTAGAAGACAATGGTGTGAAATCATAGCATGGATTAGCCAGAATCTCACTGGAAATTTTATAATCCTCCATTAATGCCTATTCGAGTTTTTTTCTCAAATCAGTGCATGGTTCGCCCAACCGTATGAAATTAACTCATCCTAACCCCATCCAACATGTTGGAAACACATGTTAAATCGATCAATTGAAGTTATAAAGACTCATTTGTGAGAATTTGATCAAAATAGATTTCCATTATTCAAAGTTTTCACAAAAATTCACCATAAATTTAAACTACCTTAATCCAATGTTTTTAAGACATCAGACCCACTTTATTTTGCATAGGGTCCTCTTCCCTAATACTCACTTGGTAGGTCCTCTTCCTGAATACTCGCTTGATGATAACCCAACTTTAAGTCAATCTTAGAAAAGTCTCCAGAATCTCTCAGTCGGTCAAATAGATCATGAGTACCAGGCAGAGGATCCTTATTTACTTTAACTACATTCAGCTGCCTATAATCAACAAAACCGCATCGAAGCTTCCTTTTCGTTGCTGCTTCAGAGACAAACTCAGTCTCAGAAACCACATTCCAACAGGCACTCCAGTTGCTCCTTTAACACCCTCAACTCCGCAAGAGGCATATGATACGACGATAAGGAAATTGGAGTAGTTCCTGCTACAAAAGTTTAACGCCCTCCTGAATGACAACCCAGTTCTATAATACATTGAAAACCCATTGACAAAGGGACTCATGGCATCAAGTCCCTGTGAAATCTCTCTCTCAATTGGGTGAATGAGAAACCCAAGTAGTTCCTGAATTACATTGACATACTCACTGACAGAGGAACCTGCTTTACCATATGCGTTTACTCCACCATCAATAAACTAAAGAAACCTGACAAGAGAAAATCCATCTTGAATGCCTTTATTTAATCAAGGGTCCATCAAGAATGTGAAATGCCGCTATCTTACCATAACATTCCACCTTGAAATGGTAGGTTGCATGCCAATCCATACCTAAGATGACATCGCACTCCCTCGTCTCGATAACTATCAAGTTGGTTGGCTTATCAGCCTCACCAACTCTCACTACGCATGCTCTGTCAATGTTGTAAATCAGCTGACAGATTCTTGAACATGAAAGGATCCCTCAACAACCCAGGTAGCAAACCAATGATGCAACAAATGACGATAATACGAAGGAATGAGATGCTCCGAAATCAAATGGAACCACCCTGTTAGGTGTATGATGACTAGAAGGTACCTTCCACTACTGCATTGGATGCACTATCATCTCTCTAAGTCATAGCAAGCACTTGAATTATTTACGAAATGTCACAAAATCAGTGATTCAGATCCCTACTTCATATGTTGTGTGCCCAAACACAAGGTTTAGTCATGAAGGAATATCCTTCTTCCTCAGCACTGATATGTGATAACTGCTAACGGAGGGAAAATGACTAGGAAAAAGTCACACAGTTGTGTAGACCAAAAAATGGTGATCTGTGCCAGTGCCTGTCATGTGCCTTAGAGTCAGGCATACTGCCATTGGTCAATGGTGTCTGGTCCAAAAATTTGTCCACACAAGTTCATTCAACACTAAATGACAATTTCCCTGTTGCAGATTCAAAACAATTTCCTACAATTTCTAAGCCTTAATGTCACATATCATCAGGATCATTGAATCTAATCCTCTAACAACTTGATAATAACAATAAAAAACTAAAAAAAAAAGGCCCAATTTAGAGTTCATTCGCTCAACAGTAAAAATTTATCATCCAATTCCAAATTCCAATTCATTCATCACTAAGCAATAAACATTAGCTTATTATGTATATATATAGAAGTGAGAGAATCACCTCAGGTTTCGAGAAGAAGCCAATTTCACCGGTGAGGGGTTTTTTGGTCTCGACAACCTCTACGATGACATTGGCGGTCGCCGGCAGCTCAGGCGGCCCCGAATCGAGCGTAATGTTGACGGAATCGAAGATTTCGAGGCTTTGAAGGCGAGCATTTGCAGTAGTGGCAGCACGAAGAAGGTCTTGCATTGTGGTGGCGTGCCTGAGTTGTTCAATTTCGGCTTCGATCAATGAGTCATTGGTCTTAGTGCTGCCCTTGATCAACACACGGTGGACTCTCAGAGGAACTCTCTTCCTTGATATAGAAATGAATAGGTTCTCCATTTTAGCTCTCTCCGACCGCATTCTCGATTCTTCTGTCAGATTTTCTTCTTCTTCTTCCTCCTCTTCATCGAAATCTTCATCGTCATCGTCATCGTCTTCGTCTTCGTCGTCATCATCTGAGGGTTCTTCGTCAATAATTGGGGGCTCCAAGATCGGGTCCTTCTGCTGTTCTTCGACTGAGACAGCCATGGCTATTATATAATCCTATTTATATATATAGGGAGAGAGAGTAATCTGATATATATCCGATATATATATATATATATATATATATATATAGATATTTATAGAGAGAGAGTAATAACTGAAGTCGGAAGCAAGGGGAACTGGGTAAAGGACCTGGAGAGAGGGGGAGAAGATGGGATTCTTACAAAGATAGTACCGTATAATCGTAACAGACCAGTAAGACCACTTTCCTTTTTCCACCTGTGTTTGGTGTACGTAAGTTTTGTTTTCTTTTTTTAAGTTTTGTTTTATATTTATTGTAGTTGAAATATTTAATTATTTAGAGATTTTATAGTTACAAATTGATAAATGAATCTGAACTTGATTTCGAAAATTTTATTAATTTCTTTGAAGTAGGAGCAACATTTATAGATATTAATTTTCTATGATTAGTAAGTAATGATTTTTATTTTTTTTAGGGCCTTTGTTTTTATTGATTTATTTTTTGTTTTTAGGTGGGTGGGGGTGTGGTGGGTTGTAGTTGTCCTGCTTGTTTTGAATTTATATATATATATATATATATATATATATATATATATATATATCAAGAAACAATGTAGTTGTAATTTATTTATATCCTCTAAACAGGGCTGGATTTGGCCCCCGGAGAAGGTATCATCATCATTCAATCTCTTGGGTTTAAAAAAATTAAAAAATAAAAATAAAAATAAAAGTAAGGGTATCATCTTTTAAGTCACAACACTCATGCCTTGTTTGGTTCGAAGGAAAGGAATGACGAGGCACATCCTACCCACATATTAGACCAAAAGGGAGGTGGAGTAAAAAGAAAGAAAAAATGGTGCATAAATGTAAAATATCATTTTTACTTCAATTATTTACCAATTTACTTTGTATTAGTATATATAATGAGAGAATACATTTTAAACAAATATAAATTCTATCTTTCCCAAGCAATTTCATTGCATATGGAAATTAAAGAACACAACTATTTTTTGTGCTCCTTAAATTTCAATGCATTTTCATTCAATATGGAAATTAAAGAATGTAGTACAATGAAAAAATTATACAAATATGTAACTTCCATACTCCCATAGTCCCATAGTTTCATATATATATATATATATATATAATTTGCTTTTATTCTACATAGCCAAATTCTAAACATCAAACCAAAAGAAACAGGACTTAACCAGCTTTTTCCCTATCTCGGCCCATGTACAGATATCATGTTTCTAAGCTAGATACAAGCTGTATCAACCTGCGAGTAAAATTTACTTTTGCCTCACCAAGGAAGAAAAAAAAGCAGGCTTATAATTACAAGTTTCAACTTCACCTATTAGTTTGCTTCTGTTGACAGAATCTCAAGCTCAGCCCACCAAAGAGGGGAGAGTTTTGGGATTGCTCCATCCGGTCCTATTGCCGTTATCTCTCTCAACCTTGCAGTAACTTCTTTCATGTCCGGTCTCCGGTTTTTGTCAGGGTGAACACAAGATTTAATCACTTCACAAAGTTTTTCGAGCTGATCTCCTTCGAAAGATTTTAGAGTCGGATCTGCTATTTCTTTAAGGGGCTGTTCTCCCCTCAAATAGTCGGATGCCCAGTCCTCAAGCGAACTACTATTACAATCCACCGAGTAAGGGAGCCTGCCTGTTACCATTTCGAACAATATTACACCAAAGCTGTAGACGTTACTTGACGGATGCAGTTCCATCTCAGTAGCTGCTGCCTCAGTCCAGAAACAAAAATCTGAGATTTTGGCAGCATAGTCTTCAGTGAGATGGACAGCCGTAGAGTTGAGGTTTTTGTGTGTCATTGGTGGCGTCAATTGGTGCATGTACTCGAGGCAGTAGGCCATCCCCATTGCAATCCTCATCCGCATCACCCAGTCCAAATGTTCTGATTCTTTTACTGCAGGATAAAACCAGGGTTAAAGGTCTCATTTTCCTACAACGCTAGAGGTCAATACAAAAGGAAATAATATTCCCGCATACAGTTCATGGTTCTTACATGACCTTATCAGAGTGTCACATGCATATAAAAAAATTCTGGGTCATACTTCAGCACCAAAGATTTATGTCCACAAACAATAACAGAGACCAAGTCAAAATATATCTCAATGATTTAAGTCTAATCTTCAAATTAAGTTTCTTCTTTCATTACTTTTTTGAGGAAGATCACAACGCCTCATACAGCCAATTCAGACCAAGTTATTTGACAGTGATAACTATGACATGAACTAATAAACCCTCAATTTTTTAGCAAGTGGGGTGTTTAATACTGAAATATTTCTTTTTATATAAAAGAGCTTTATATGAACTAGACCGAGTCATTTTGTTTAATATTGAATTAAGTTTATGCTGTTTCAACATATTTCCTTTTTTTATCTCAAAAATCAATAAAAATATTTTATATAGAAGGATCTCACTAAAACATTCTTAATAAAAAGAATTTCACTAAATAATTTCTTTTAGGAGAAAGATCACAACCACCCAGGCAGCCAATGCAGACTAAGTCATTTTGGTAGTGATATGAACCAGTCCAACCTCAACTTTAGTATAGTGGGAAGTTAAATAATGAAATATCTCCCCAATATAAAAGAGACTTATATGATTGGACCAAGTCAAATATTTAATACAGATATATGTTGTTTCAACGTATTTTCTATTCTTACTTCTAATTTTTTGACAAGTATAGACAAAAATATTTTATATAAGTTCATTAAAATTTTGATGATACCTGACACTGAAAAACATATTACATGGTTTTACACACTTCTAACATCAAATTAATTTGAGGTCTCCTTAGAAGCATTAAAAGGTGAGCCATGCCAAATGTTCAGTAATAAAAAAATGTAATACCTTCCAGAACACATGCACTATTTCTTTCCAGATTATTATTAGTCTGTGTTCACAGCTAAACCTAAAATATTGACCGGAGTAAAAATCTGTTTCCACATAAACTGAAATATAGAGTTAGATACTTACTGTGTAAATGCTCAAAGAGGGTCCCATTTGGAGCATATTCGAAAACCATCATTCTAGTGAATGGCTCCTCTTCCTCGCAATACCCAAGAAGATTCACAAAATTCTTGTGGTTCAATTTTGATATAGTGTCGATCTGAAACCATTACAGAACGGAACATTCAGGATAGCTCGAGTGAATTGAAACAACACAAAACTTAGTTCAATTAATTTGTCAAACTACCTTATTCCTGAACTGAAATTCCAGATTCTTAAACCAATCCTTGGAAGATGTAACTGCAACAGATACCACGGATATTTCAACCCCACTGGACAATGTTCCTTTGTATACTTTTCCAATTGGTGAAGAAGAAATTATGTTGCTGAAATCTTCACAAGCTGTCTCAAGCTCTGATCTCTTGAGCTTTGGCACGCCTGAGATATGCAGCCACAACACAGAAGCACAAGATTTAAACATATAAATCTTATTCTTAAACATATAATTCAACAGGGACATAGGGGAAGTACTGCCTGCTATATAAGCTTGATTCATATGCATGTAAGCAAGGATTATCATGTAGTAAATATAATATATATATATATATAACCAACGAGCTAGTGGCCTAGTGGTACCAAAACCCTACTTCCCAAAGGAGGTAAGGGGTTCGAACCTCGGTGGAAGCATGTGTGTGTGAGTACCAACTAGGGGAAAAAAAAAGAGTAAATATAAAATATATTTACACACAAACATAAATATATATATATATATATATATATATATATAAAAATATATATTCAAGGATTATCCATCCACAGACTCTCCAATAAAGATGATTGGGGAAAATAGTAAGCCAATTAAATGTTCCCAAAAATCTTGCCCAAGGATAACGTTTCCGGGAGTAAAATAACAGTACAAGATGCAGCATAAGAAATACTTCCCTTGATAAACCAATTAAATTAATGCTTAGGAAATTATCTGTTTTTATTAAAAGACAATCAAATACGTGTTTAACTAGATAACTGCTTTAATATGAGAGAACAGAGATTCCAACTCTAAATAATAGCCCAGTAGCATTCCTAGGAGCCAACATTTAAAGAGAGGCCACTATCCTTCTGAGCATCTTCAGAAATCAGAATTAAAAAAAAAAATGCAACTGTGATTTGTCCCTGTGGGAATGAAAACGTACCAGTTACAAATGCTTTCTGCAGCTGCCCACTTAATCCTGTGGCCCAAGGTCTGACAACAGCCACCTTATTGCCTCGACAATATAATATGCCAATGACCAAAATGAGAAACAATGCCGAACCCCCTATGGCTAAAGAGTATATTAGAACATGATGGTTTTTTGGACTTTTTGCTAGAGAGGGTGTGGTTGCAGGAGATGGGGAAGGGGAAGGGGAAGGGGAAGGGGAAGGGGAAGGGGCAGAGGAAGGTGATGAGGAATATACTTCTGGCAAGACCGTTTTAAGATTCTTTGGTGAATGATCTGCCACCAATAGCAATCTCCGTTGAGCTACATCTCGAGTTTCATCAATGTTCCTGGAAAAATATAAAAGCATCTGTCATGAAGCTGACCAGAAAGCAACAAGCCATCATGGCTTGTAATAAATGTTGTATATTAATGTCAATCAGGAGCAATTTTCTCTTTTCCTTTGCAATCGAAACCCAAAAATCTTTGAACTAGCTCATGCTTGATAAGCCAAGTAGATGAACGACCAGCGTTGCTCATGTTCCGCATATTTATTTGTATTTCTCATTTACAATGAAGTTTATGAAGATTGACCCTTTTTTTTTAACACCTATTTTCCCCCACTTGGAGCTTGAACCTCAACCTCCCTCTTGGGAGGTGGAGATCATACCACCCAGGCAAAGAGCCCGGTTGTAGGAGTAGCAAGTTCTCTATTAGGTTGGAGGATATGAAAAGACCGTAAAGCCCTGCTGATGTGTGCACAAGATAAACTCATGACTCCATGAACCACAACAAAGATATAGCATGCGAAACCCACTGCATTTAACCACTAAACAAAATACAAGATTTACACTTTCTTATGCCTTACCTTATTGAATAACTAGATTAAAAAATAGAAAAGTTATTTCAAATTGACTGCACACATGTACCATGAGACGGATCTTTTGTTGCAAGATAATCTTTGCACAGCATTAGAAAGCTTATTCTCATCTACTTGAGCTTCAGAAAGCATTGTGAGCTCATGAATTTCAGGAGATATGCAACCCAGAAGCTCGTTGTTGTCCAGTAGACTGCAATATAATCAGAAAATGAGTTGAGCTGCGCAGAAAATAAAAAGATGTCCAAAATGACAATTAAGCTACTCATTATTGTCGACTTACAGGATTGACAGTGATAAATTATTGCCAAGTCTAGGAGGCAGTGGTCCACGGAAGTTATTGTACCCCAGGTCCAACACCTCCAACTCCTTTAGCTCTCCAATTTCTTCAGGGATGATTCCAGAAAGAGAGTTATTGCGTAAAATACTGCAGAGAACTTCACAGTAAAAACAATGCCCATAAAACAGAAGGTGGGATACAAAAAAATTAAAAGAAAAATATGGTCCCCCTTAAGATGAATAACAATAATATATATTACAGATCATTTGCAACTATGTAATAAATTGATATATCCTTACATAGACTTTATGCGAACCAGGTCTCCAAGATCCGGTGCTAGTGTTCCTCCAAGACACAAATCTTTCAAGTTCCTGCAATTGGTACAAATTCAAAATCTAGAATGATTAAAACTCATCATCCATTGAAACCAAGATTCAAAACCATTTATGTGTAAAAATTGAATTTAATTTAATATCAGAGCAATATTCACTTAACAGTTGATTAACCATCCTTCATGTTAAACAACAAAATTCATGGTTTACTCATTGATTGACATTTGACAGATACCTGAATTTTTTTCGCACACGATATTGAACCAATTCTCAATACAGAACAACTAGATATTAGTATATACACTTATCTCTTGGAACTGCCTAAATCATAAGTAGCATATATAATCACAACGAAAATCAATATTTAATATTCTACCGCAATCACTTATAACTATATATATATATATGTATATCAAGAATTGCACTTCACATCATAGATCATGATGATACCGAACATAGAATAAGTGTTAAATCGTAGGATGTGGATTTAATTATTTGTGGAGTTGTTTAAACCTTTTTTTTTTTCAATTCCAATTCCGAAGCACCAATTCCATGCTACGAAACATAGCACTTCACATCATAGATCATGATGATACCAAACACAGAATAAGTGTTAAAATCGTAGCATGTGGATTTAATTATTTTGGGAGTTGTTTAAACTAATTTTTTTTCAATTTCAATTCCAAGCCGCCAATTCCATGCTACTGAAAGTAGCATAAGTGTTGAAATTGTAGTATGTGGATTTAATTATTTTGAGAATTTCTTATTCTGATTTATCTAGAAGGTAGGGAGAGGGGTAAGTAGGTTTGCTCATACCATAGATCTAATATACACAAATCTCATACATCTTTTTAAAGAAAAACCAGAAAAGAGTCATATATATATATATATATATATATATATATATATATATATATATATATAAAGTGTAAGCTAAAAAAACAAAACAATCACTTCCTATAATCATGCAAAACAATATATCACAAAGAATTACTTACAGAACCACAACATTTCCGTTCGAACACTCGACGCCGAACCACGAACACGGATTAATCACTCCGACATCATCATTCCAATTCGACAAAGCCCCAAATGGATCACTCACAACTCTATCTCTAAATTTCAACAAAGCTAAGCCTGCACACAAAGAAATAACATAGGACACCAAATTCAATCTTCACTTTCCCAGAAACCAAACAAAGCAGAAAGAATGTAAAGTCACTGCCACCACAAAGCTCATACCTTCTTCGTTGAGAGACCAACACAGATTACAATTCCGGAACAGGAAACACATCATCACCGCCATGAAAATCCGGCGCTCACTGGATCTCCAAAAGTCCATCATTCCAACTAACTAGAAGAAACCCCAGATTTCTTCTCTCAAGATAAGATCAATAAAAAAAAAAATCAGAACTGGGTTGAATCAAAAACAGCTCAAACAAACTAAAATCTGAAAACCCGTGTGGAATTTGTCGAGATCGAAAGTGGGTTCGCGTTATTGCGAACTAATTTAGACCAGAAAACGAGAAAACGCGTGAACCCAAAATTTTTTGACTTCGTAAAAGAGTAGAAGACGAATAGTTACTCATACAAACAGTGATACATATATATATATATGTAATCATATAAATACTACGTATGTGTGTATGTGTGTTGTTGTATGTATAGGTGAAAGAATGGGTCTAATTAAGAGGGAGAGGGAGAGGGAGAGAGGGAAGCAAATGTTACGGCAAAATTACGGAAGCAATGGGGGCAAGAAAGAAGCAATACAATACTAGTGCCGGCGATGACTTGGGAATATAGATACATTACATAGAGATAGAATACAAGTGTTTATATCGATTGGACTGAGTAAAAGCAGACAAGTCATTCATTGGTGGGCCAACCTCGTAATTATCTTTATTTTTTTAATCTTTGCTTACCTAAGTACTCGTTAAGTCTGTTAGTTTTGGCGGGTAGTCTTTTGATAAACCAATAAGTATTAATAAAGTTAGCAAAGCCTATGTTCTTGTAATACAATAAAATTGTTTCAGAGTTGTGGAGAAATTGGTGAGCCAGTTAGGGCAAATATTAAATTAATGAGGAATTGGATTTAGGGGTTTTTTTTTTTTTTTTTTTTAGAATAAATAATTGGGAATGAACTGAAAATAAATAACTTTTGAAACTAAATCGAGCTTATTTTTGTAATTTATCAAACGAGATCAAATTCCATCTAACTTGAATAATTAGATGTGTCAACATGTATCTACAAACAAACTCCTTGAGTTTGGTCAACATAACTTGCTTATAAGATTTTTTTGTATATATAATCAATTTTTGTCCTTAGCAATCTTAGTTTCAATCTCCAGAACAAGTTTGAAACTAATGAAGTGAACTAAACAAGCCGAGTTCAACAATAAATGTTCCAGTTAATTTTGAACACTAATACATGAGCCCTAGCCTCAAGCTCGAATTTGGTCTAAATTCGGCTTAACTCAATTTGTTTATTATGCTCTAGGGGAAAATAATTAATACTCCCGTGCAATGGAGTCTTCCCATTCACCTTAATGATAAAAAATTATATTATAGTATATGATTGGTTATACCCAATAATTGTGTGCCTACTTTAGATAGGTGACAAAAGTGTTTTAAAACGCCTTCAATTATTGACTTGTTACAAAATATCCTCCTCAACTATTAATTGTTGTAATTAAATTCTTCAATTCTAAGAAAGAGTAGTATTACATTCCTAAGACTAACGAAAGTCACACTGATCATTAAGTTGGGCACATATAGTGAACGTGATGTCAAATAACCTACTTAATGACCTAAATATTGGTAAAGTGACTATAACGAGGGGTATTAGGTTATTAAGTAAATTATTTTATTATATGAATATAACAAGGGGTATTAGGCCATTAAATAAGTAATTTTATGTAACATGCATTACATGAATATAACAAGAGATATTAGATCCTTGAATAAGTTATTTTATGTCACGTGCAACACACGTGTTTAACTTACCGGCCACAGCAGTTAGCTTCAAAAGTATAATGTGATCCTCTTTAAAACTTGGGGAGTCTTAATTCCAATAGTTGATGGATGTTTAGAGGGATAGGAAAAGTTACTTTGCCAAACACTTGATAAAATCCATGTTTACCACTTAAAAATCATGTTTAACTAAACAAAGAGCCGCCTAAGTTTCAAAAGATGAAAACACAAAGAGCCAAACATCACAATGGTGGACCTTCTATGAGTGACGTGACCCCCCTTGTCATTTTCATTTACTATAATGTGCTACTTGTTTATTTTAGTAGTACATAAAACTTCCCAGCCAATCGACATGTTTTTCTATTGGGATGAGAGTGACCGAAAGTGAAATCCTTTTGCTTGGTCGCATGTCTTCTTTCTTGCAGATGACCATAACAACTTCCATGATCCAGTCCTTTTATCATCCTTTCATCGATCTCTTCCACGTGTTCAATTACAGTCTTGAGAGCTCCTACCATTCAAACAAAAGGAGCCATACTCATTCCGAACACCAAATTAGAATTTAAAATCTAGGTACTAGCGGAATCAAGATTCATAACCATAATCAAGGATGGAATTAGGATTTTAAATTAACGGATATTGGGGCAAAATATATATATATATATACACGTAATCACAAAATTTAGAGAGGCACTATATAATTTTTTATATATATAAAAAAAAAAATTAGTAAGGGTATTGCTTAATTTTTTTCATATAAATAAAAAAAAATTAACATATATTTTAGAGGGCAGGGCAGACCAGGTCAAGAGGCACATGCCCCCGGCCCTTCATTGGCTCCGTTTCAACCATGATATTGATTGCATCGTGATGTAACGGACTTAAATGAATATCAATGTAAATCGATCGAAGAATTTACCCCTCTTACATTCCGAGTTCAGAGTTAATAAAGGGTAATATACTAATATTATCTTTAAACAATTTATAATTTTAAAGATTTTTTTTTTTTTTTTGAGTAAATAGTTTTGGAGGTTTTTTTTTTTTTTTTTTTGAAATTATTAAAAACGCATTAAAAAATTCCATAATTTTGTAGCTTGTTTGACTTTTAATTTCTCTCTTTTTTTTCTTTTTCTTTTTTGGGTCCTCTCAATAAATTAGAATAGCTAAATGTAGAGAAAAATGTGCACACCGGAATATTAAATGATGTGGATCTCCAGCTTCTTGAGGCAACTTTTACTTTTCTTAATAGACTTATAGTAGTGGGGTCCAGTGTTGTGACAACGAAATTCACTAGAAGCTAGTAGTATTATTGGTTTTTGGCTGTTTGGCTCTAGTGTTTAACTCATAAGAAGGGCACACAGATTGCGTAGGTTTTGGTCTAAGATCCGACCTAATTTCAATTCTCTTCTTATCCACTTTGAACAGTGATTTAAATCCATGGGACGTGGATGGTTTTTCAAGAACAACAATCTAGGTTTACTTCTACATCCAATTCATTCTTATCCCTATTTTCACATTTTGAAATTTATTTTGATTATTTATAAAATAAAATAAATAAAAAACACGTACTTGGAGCAATTCACAATTCACACCAACCACTCCATTAAGAGTGGCGGGTTCCACCATCACACCCTGATCGCGTGGGACTTCTTTATGTCCATTGATGGAATACCGTTGTACTTCATCAACCAAATCTTTAAAAATAGTATATAGTTTTAATTGCTTGAAGTTGGTTTTGTCAACAACTACATGCCATTGATTTTTTTTTTTTTTTTCCTGACATGCCATTGATTAAAGCCCACAACTTTGAGGCTTCAGCACACAATATATGAAAATGTATGTACAATATATTCCACCTAAATTTTTTTTTTTTTTTTGCGGAATTTTTTTTTTTTTTCAAATAATATATATTTATATATATTTTTTTTAATATTTGACAAAGATCTAGATTGAAGTTGAGGTATTACGTGTAAAATAACTTGTCAAAAATTGATGAATAATTTATTTTTATTGTTAGATTTTATTTTTATTCTTAATATTTTACGACAACCAAACATCAAAAATAAAAAAAGATTTTATATCCAAACAAATAGAACCTAATTTACCAAAGAATAATAATATAAAGGGATTATATATACATATGACTTCAATAAGATAGTTTTATTAACCAATAGGAAGATATTAGGAATAAATCTTATTAAAAAAAAAAAAAAAAAAAAGGACTTAGGTGGTATGAAAAATTGAATATGGACTAGTTGATGCGTTTGTAAATAACAAAAAAAAAATTTGCATAGATGTAACATACGACCAAAAACTAACATGTAATAAAGTAATTAAAAATGGCTGAGGAGATGTGATCTAAAATATAAATAAAATGTCAAAAATAAAGAAAAAAAAAATCATGTCAACTATCTCATTCATTAAGGAAAAAAAACATGATGATGAAATGTATATTTCTAATTTTATTTTTGGGTTGGGGTTATGCAGTTAAGGCGTAGAGCATCCACAGCGCTCTAGCGGAAGGGCCTTTCTCGCGATTTGGGCTCCCAAATCCATTGCAGCAGGATAGTGGAAATTGGGCGGACCCACATGGCCTCGCAGGCGGATCGCTCTTTTTTCTTTTTTCTTAATTTTTTTTTTTTTTCTTTTTTTGACAAAATGACGTTGTTTTTGGAGGAATCTTGTTTTCTTTTTGACATCTGGCAGTATGTAATAGGGCCATCGCATCAGGTATTTTTAGGAAAACCCAAAAATATGTGATTTTAAGCTCTCTCTTTTTAAAATAAAAAATAATAAAATTCATTAAATAAAAAAAAAAAAATAGGCACTATTTGTCCAAAAAAATTTTTTGATTTGGGCCAAAAATAAATTTAAAAACCTTTTTTTTAAAAATTTTTTGCTTTAAATTTTAATTTCGACCACAAACAATGCATTTGGCTGTTAAGGAACTGTTTGACTGACACAAACAGTGTCTTAACAGCTATAATTTAAAAAATAAAAAATCTATTTTTTTAACTTTTTTCAAAAGATAAAATAAAAAATTTATATCTCTTCTATAAATATCCCAACTCCTACCACCATTCATCACATCTAACACATCTTTATTATCTACCATTCAAGCTATTTCATCTTTTATTTTCTCAATTTTAACTATTATTTTCAAACTCAATCTGATTCCATGGATCCTCAATTAAGTAACTCACAACCTTTCACACAATAACCGATTATCCAAAATCAAAATTGGTCCACGACAAAAAATGCGACTTTATGTTAGGCGTTAATGTCCATTACCTCCGATTTGAATACGAAGGCAGATCAAAGTAACAAAAAGTTATGGGAGCAAATCTTTGAAAGTTATGTACAACATCTTGGTGTTTCATTTTCGCGAAAATGCAGTAACTTTGATGAATTGTTGATTCATCTTCTAAAAACAAATCAGCATATTTTATAGGTGCATGAATAACATCGAAATGAAACGCACTAGTAGCTTCAATACTGATGATATGGTGAATTATTTATTGTTTTAAATATAACTTATAAATATTTTAAATATTTGGATTTTAATTTATTCTTAAATTTTTTGTGTAGATGACAAAAGCTAAAGAGGTGTTTCATAGTCAAACAGTTGCTGAATTTGAGTTAGAAAGTTGATGTCATATTGTGAAGCATAACATCAATCATAACTTTTATCCATATAATGGATGATATATTGTTTAAAGTTGTGTAATATTAATCCTAATTTTTTTAAATCATATAATGGATAATGTATTGTTTAAAAAATAATATATATATATATATATTTTAGAGCGAAAATCCAAAGAGCCTGATGGAGTGTCAATTTTTGGAGAGCAAAAGCTATTAACATGGCTTTTGAAAAAGTTGAAGTGATATTTTTAGGGAGCCAAAATCTAGAGAGGTTTGAGCGGATTCGCTAAGGGAAGGCAAGCAAATACTGTGGATTGGGCCTAGAACAATCCAATCTCAACTAGAACAGAACACTAATTCGAGCCTAGACTCTAAAGAAGCAGGAGCTAGGCCCAAACCCAAGTCAATTTAATTTCAACCCAAAATCTAAATCTAAATCCAAATGATCTAGCTCCAGGGCATTTCGGGACAGCATTTTTAATAGCTATTAAACATAATTTGGTTTTTTATTTTAATATGTAGTACCAAAAAAAAAAAAAAATTGAATATGTAGTGTTATGGTAAAAGTAATGCTATTCAAATAAATAAAAAAATAATATGCTAACTAAATAATACTAAGAAAATATACTCAATAATACAGATTTCTTTGGTGTTTATTGGTTATTTTCATTTCATATTGATTAGTTGGCTTAAATTTTCACTTAGAAAAGCATTTTGCATATAATACAGATTTTAGATATATTAAAGTCTATTAATTTTCTAAGTCCAATTTAACCCTGATAGAACAAGTTCATAAGTCTTCAAAGGGCATTTGGGAGCTTCCTGAGAACTCAAAAAGTTCTTTTAAACTTCAAAAATTATTTTTTCAAAAAATATGACGTGGTTACACATGTGCGAAACGATTTTCAAAAACTTGATAGTCATGAAGTCCATTTCAGATAAGTGTTAAAAAGAAAAAAATGGTTGTTTTTAGGAAGTGATATATATATAATGGTAAATTTAATAGTTTATTAATTTGTCCATGTAACCACCACCATCACCTTTGACCATTGTTGTCCCTACTATACATCATTGTCCCATTGTTGTCGCTACTATACATTATTGTCCGCTTTATATTATTTATTGGAGGCTTGCGATTATTATCAAGAATAAGAAATAATATTATCAAATATATATATATATATATATATATATATATATATATAAAGATATATGTGTATGTATTTTTAAAAGTACATTTAAGAAATACACTCGATTAGATGTTTTTTTTCTTCTTTGTCACAAATTCTTTGTAACAAAATTCGTATTATGAGAGTCTTGTCCACGAAGAACTTTTGATATTAGGAAGCTAAGGGACAATTTATGATGGACCAAATCACTATTTTCATTAATCATACTTAAATATTGTGTGAGGCTATAGGTAAAATAAACTTATAAAGTAGTCCCACTACGTGCCCAGCATGTGCTTGACCAAATAATAATGCTTGAAAGTTAATTAGGGCTGCAATTCGGAGGGGTTGAGCGGGCTTGGCACTCATATTGGATCAGCTCGAGCCCGCACTAAGCCCACCTTAGAAGAATTTGTTTGTAAAAAATAAATCAATTAATGCTGCACCCATGACTTAAACTTAAAACTTTAAGCATAAATCCCAAACACACTACTAACTTGGCTATTATACTCTTGTGACTCAAGTATAATTATAAATATATGTAATATTTTCGAGCTCGGGTTGGGCGAAAGCTTCATCCATATCAACCCAAACTCAGCCCGAATTGAATTCGGACTTAAAATATATAGCACAGACCCAAATCGAAATTAGAAAAATATTGCCCAAGCCCACAAAATTTTGAGATGAACTCGGGTTATTTCGGATTGGGCTCGCCCGAGTTGCAGTGCAAAAAGTTATCAAACATTAAACAATCCTTAATATCAGATTTTATTCATTTTTATTAAAAACATAAATTTTCTTATTTCCAACCTTTGAGTGCTTTTTAACTTCGTCACTAGAATATCAAAATATCTCTAACTCAATGACATGATATTTAATTTTCCAAGACAAAATCTACAATCACTTTTACTGCAACATATTGATATTAAGAATAGTGCATGTGTATGAGAATTTGATCTCATCAAAAAAGTGTACGAATATGATAGAGTTACACCTGTCAATATATGGATCCAATTTTGATCTGATTTCAATTTGAATCGGATTTGATTATATATATATATGGATTAAAAATGAATTATTATAATTTGATAATAATTTGAATTTAAAAATCCATTATCTTAACAAATTAGATATGAGTTATAAATATTTCCATCCCATTCAAATTATAAATATATATATATTATTACATTACAATAAACTATATAAGAATGTTATATATATTAGTTATCTAGTAGTATTAAATTTTTATATATTAATTATTTTTTAATATATTCATTTGGTTGCACACAATCCTATATATTAACAATTATTCACCCATCTAACCTTATATGTAGATATACATGACATTTTAATCTTTATAAAAATAAAATAAAAAATATTCTGAAACCGAACTAAATAAAGTATGAATTGAAATATTCAATCTGATAACTCGTTAGCTATTCGAATTTAATAATTTGTTAATTTAATAAATCGAATATGAATTTGATTGATTTGATCCGAATTCGATCAGTTAAGTGGCTTAAATATGACCATTAGTCCAATAAATAAAATCGATACAACTTCCACACATTTACAAAAAAAATTTAAAAAAATTAAATTATCAAAAAAGTTTTATGTAATAATTTTTTGCTAGTGTCTTCGTTAACAACACTTGGAATCTAACCAAGTTTACCTTTTAACAAAAACAAAAAAAAAACACTTGGAATCTAACCAATGAGAGCTCGACTCACAAACCTTAGACAACAGACATACAATAATATCTTCAAAGGACAGACAGTTTATGACTACGTTCCAAATTCTGACCCCTCCACTTGTCCACGCGCTGTAGAGGGGAGGGTTATCCCTCTCCTCTTACAATAATAGAAACTACCGTTACAGTTATACCATTGTATTCGACTACACATCGAAAACATCTCTAACTAGATCCCTATCCAATCACGGACTCGCTCCTCACCACCAAAACATGACACAACCACCATCTCCGACCACAACCACCGTCGCCCCCACCAACTAACCCGCCAATTCCCGTAAATGGCGTCCCAAGACTCCCAACCATTCCACTGGCGCTACACCGAATTCGACGACCGGAACTTCCAAATCCGTGGCCGAACCCTCTTCTTCATCGTTGTCCTCTTCTCCATCGTCCTCCTCATCACCATCCTCTTCCTCTACGCCCGCTGGGTCTGCCGCATCCGCCACCTCCCATCCGCCGCCACATCCGCCCCGCACCGTGCTCACGCGCCGCCCGCTCAGCCGCAGGGGCTCGATCCGGCCACAATCAACAGCTTGCCGATGACACTCCACCGGTCACCGTCAATGGCGGGTCTTCGCGAGGAGCCCGAGTGCTGTATATGCCTCGGCGTGTTTCAAGACGGCGACAAAGTGAAGGTCTTGCCGGAATGTCAACATTGTTATCACTCCGAGTGTGTGGACAAGTGGCTCACTGCTCGTCCGAATTGCCCACTCTGTCGAGCTTCTCTCCGAGCTCACTCACTCGTTTGACTCGGTATATCATTTTTCTTCTTCTCAAGATAATGTTTTTTTTGAATGGTTCAATGGTTTAACGTTCGAATATCAGTGTTATTGGTGCGAGTTCGAGCTTCAGAGTAACCATTCTGTAAAATATTTCCACTCTCCAGATCCTGCGGTGGCGGATCAGAATTGGGTGGTGTTCACTATGTATATTTATATTGATGAATGGGTATATATGTGTGTGTGTGTGTGTTCTCTCTTATTTCATGCATTCTGTAAATTTTTGTAAAGCATTATTCAATTTGCTATTGCTTGGTTTTTGTATTTGTTATGAATTATATACGTACATTTTGTTTTGTGACCTTTTTGATATGTTTTGCTGTGTTGACACTCTGTTTCTCAAATTGAATTGCTTCTGACTTGAATTTGTGGTTTTCAATGGCTTATGGTGATTAGACTTACAAAATTGGGTATGCATAGTTTTTGACTTTTTTTCTCAGTGGATATGTATACATGTTTGTAGAAATTTTGTTGACGTATTTTCTCATAATAAATTTGATTTAGATTGTATACCAATTCGAAATTTTCCTAAATACAAAATGTGTTTAGTGACCGATACATATTAGTTGAGATGGTTTGATCTCTCCTCTCCTCTCCAAAGGAGAGAGGTCGGGAGTTCGAGCATTCGAACCCGGCTAGAGGCAATATAGTGGATTTGTGTGAGTTTGCTTGAAATTTTGAATAAATAAATAAATACTCCCTGAATGGTAGGTGATTAGTGACTTATCTATCAAGTTATACTGGAATGCCTTAGTTTGTAGCTTAGTTTGTAGTGATACCAAGGCATATGCCATGTTATATATCTGTGTCCTCCACCTGTTTGATGAATTTCCTGTTTAAGTTATGTTTCTTTGCTGACCTTTTTTTAACGTTAATGGAGGATCTAATCACGTTTTCGCTTTCAGTTTGAGTTTCGTTGTGTAGGTGGAAGACTGGTAGAATTGAGCATTTTCAATGTGTTGTCATTTGTTTCCCGCATAAAACATTGGTGTGTTTGTTTTTGCATATTCCACATAGTCTGGTATCATTTGCCAGTCATGTTTGATCACTTTGAAAAGGGTCACTTATGGTAATGGCTGTCAATTTGAACGGTTTCGAGTTTAGTTGAAAATGTAATTTAAAAAAAAAAAAAAAAAAAAAAAAAAACCTCCTTTCTCTTAATCTTTATCAGTTTGTCTGATGCTATTGCTATAGGGCTGCTGTCAAAGCGCTTCATTCATGGACCGGTATACAAACTGCTTTCAAAGTTACATGTTGCTATTGCAGCAGCATCATCTCAATTTGGGACCATGAGATGCACTCATGTCAACAAGACATGGGGGTCCAGACAACCTAAGGGGGGCATTAGTAGAGACGTATAGGAGAGTTTGGGAACTAGATTGTTGATTTAGATATTTATCCTTTGTGTTTGTACCCCATAAGTCATAACAAGAGAAAGTAGATTTCTAAAGCAAACCAGGGAAACTCTGAGGTTGCCTGCAGACCCCACTTTGGCGGATGGAGAGCAACTCTTTGCCAGCATTGGTTGGAAATCTTATCGTGGGGGATACCACGAGACATGGAACATTTTTCGTCATCTGAATCATTTTCTGCTTTGAAGTGCCACTTTAAGATTATGAATGAAGTGTACGGATTTAGTTCGTACGGAGACACAGAATGTATGCTTGTATGAAAGGGAAGACTAGTTTGTATAGAACGCAAGAGATTGAAATACTAGAGGAGACATGACTAGTTTGTATAGAATGGAGAAAGAGAACTAGTGTCACTAACCTCATTCTTTTGGGACAAAGGTAACGACGATGATGATTTTAAGAGTCGAATTAGGCATTATGGTGTTGCTGTATTATACAAAGTTCATTGAAGCACCTCCTTGTTTACATTGCTGGTAAGTTCAGTATGTCTAACGCGGTTAAGGAACTCATCTTGCATCTTGGATGTAGTTGATGCAATGCAGCCAGTCCTTCTGAATTCTTGAATACCAGAATCATTCTAATTAGCCTTCCTGGGGTTAGCATTAGGTAATTTACACCGACACCCTCCCAACCCCCGCACGGGCGTGGAGGTTTGGGTTTATTACAGGTAGATACAACTTGACCCAATTTTTGACACTAACACCCCTGAGCTCGAGCAGAGCTTTAATGACATACGAGTTGGACTCAGTTGAGTTGGGGTTCGGGTTGGGATGCGAATTAAGCTTGTTTGGTCTTCAATGGTTAATATTGACTGCAGGGTAGTTTGGTCATTTCCATGAGCTGATATTTTGGTCAAAAATAAAATATTTTATTGATAGGCAACTTCGACATTTCATATTCTTTTACGTTGTGTTTGAATCTTATTTCTGAAATAGGGTGTCATTGCCAACAAAGTATCCAAGTTGTAACTAGTTATTATAAATTCAAACATCGGAGGTGTCACTTTAAATTATCTTAAAAATTACTAGTGATTTTCATGCACTAATATTTCATAAGCATAGGCATAGAGTTACTTAAATATCACCGAAGATGTCCTTATTTTTAACCAACTCATGGTATTAGAAATTTCTTAGATGCTCTTTTCTTTGATGCCATCAATTCTGTTTTGAGGCTATATTTAGCCGCATGAAATTTGGAACATTGGATTTGAAATTAGTAACTCACAAACATGATCTTTGAAAAAAAATTTCTCAAAAAAATGACCAAACATGTCCTTAATTTCCTTGAATGTGATTGTGCCTATGCTTAAAAAGATCGAATACAACTTGCACATGAAATGGAACAAATCTGAAGTTAGATTCATGCACACCGAGTTTAAATTCAGATTTTAATGTTACGCTCCATTTTTAAATTCGAATCATGGTCAGATGCCATGAGTTCAAATCGGATTGAGACTGATTTGAAAATGGAGTACAAGGCATAATTTGGCAAACCAATCATTCGCAATGCTTTTGGTGGAGTCATCACTCACCTCACTGTCAGTCCACCGACCTCATTAGTGCTAGTTATTAAATCGCGTTTGATATATTTACTGTATAACAAAAATTTTAAAGCATAAAGTTGATGTTTCTTAACATTGTGGTAGTGAACTGTATATAGTTTTGGTTACGAGGCTTATGAGACGTGTTCAATATTAATTGGAGTAAAATTTATTCAATAATTTTTGAAAATAAAAACAAGAAAACATATTTGATAAAAAAATATTAAAAGATTGAGAAACAAAATGGGTAGCTGAATAAAATTTATCCAATAAGTTGTCATGTTTTTATTTAAAAAAATTATTGAATAAATTTTACTCCAATTACTATTGAACACGTCTCATAAGTCTCGTAACCAAAACCTTATTTTGGTTGCGGATGAAAACAGAAATATAAGATAGAAACGATTGCCCTTAGTCATTAATGATAGAAACGATTGCCCTTAGTCAGTCATTAATGACTCATTATTCTAACTTATAGAATCATGAAAATTGATCATAAAAGATTCTCCCAAGAAAAATTTAAAAATATATAAAATCACATATAAAATTTTTATTTTATTTGAAATTTTTTTAACTATCACACGTTATATTAGTATAGGACATGAAATTTCATTTATTTCATAAGTAAATTTATTTTTACTTTTTTCATATTGTAAAAAATATAATTAGTAAGTTTTTTTTTAATAGTCAGGAAGGCTTAAAATTTATGAATATATATAATTACTAGTGCTAAATGGATTTTTTTTTTTTTTTTTTAATTCAATAAGATTTGGGTAGATTACAGTGATCTCTCCTGAAATTTGAACAAATCTCACACAAGTGAAGCGTTTCAGATTTATTGTTTTGACCTCCTTTCAAATTTAGATTTATGCCGTTATACTTATTTATTTTATTTTTTTAGAATATTTTTTTAGGACTGGGTAATGGTAGTGGAGAGGAGAAAGAAAGTAATAAGAGCGATGAGGTAAAAAATTGTTTGTTTTTTAAGATTTTATAATATATATTGTATTATAAAAATATATTACATGTAAAAGTATAATTGATTTTTTATTCGGATTAACAAACTTCGAATGCTTCACGTACGTGAGATCTGTTCAAATTTGAAAGGAGATAATTGTAATTTACTCATAAAAGTTTCTACCACTAAAAATACATTTTTGTTTCGGACTCTAAAAATAAAAACCTAGGGTTCCACTTATGTGACGTCTTTTGCCTTAGCCTTCAAAGAGACAGTAGGATCTTCGAAGAAGAGGGGAAGAAAATCTAGCTACCTTCCTCTCATCACCATGAGAGCTAAGGTAATTTCTACTCCTGAGACATACTCTCTTTATTAATTTTTCTTAATCTCTCAGTATCTAATAATATATGTAAGTATATGTATAGTTGTATGTATGTTTGATCTGTCGATTGATGATAATTTTGGTGGTTCTGTTTTCAGTGGAAGAAGAAGCGAATGAGGAGGTTGAAGAGGAAGCGCCGAAAGATGAGGCAAAGATCTAAGTGATAGTTGCTGAAAATAAATTTGCAGAGTGTTCAAATTTAAGCTGTCTGATGGTATTTTTCTGTTAATTTCGATTTCGTGAACTTTCATAGTTTGTTCTACTATTTGTTAAGCTTAAATTACATTGTGAGACTCTGATGCATTTGTTGATGAAATGCGATTTAGTTGCTATGTTTTGTGTTCATTTCCATTGGGTTTTAGATTATTTGATTTTTCTTGTTTGGTTGGTAGTGCCAGCAAACACATTTGATCAGATGGTGGAATTGAATGAGCTTTGACACAACATAACACTACACTCCATTTTTTTTTTTTCCATAATTAATTCTATGTTTCTAAAATAATAAATTTCTGGGAGTAAAATAAAGTGTGCATTAATAATGTTATGTGTCACCAATCAACTCTTCATTGAACATATTCGGCCATTTGACCATGGCATTTACCAAACCCCACTGATCTTTGTTGAGAACATATAGAAAAACACACCACTGCTACCATACAAACACTTATATACAGAAGTACGAGTGTGACTATGGGTGATCAAAATGATATGAACTGTGTAGATATCTAATTTTGTGTAATCGTGTGTGTAAATATGTATGTAAAAGATATGTGTGTCGTGTGTGTATATGTATGTGTATAACTATGTTTGTATCATGATCTATCTATAGAGAAAGAGTTGCGTATCAGTAATGAAAAGATCACTAGATTTTGATTAGCTAAGGTTGTTGAAGCCAGAATCCTTCACAAAGAACCTTGGGTACCGCCAGATCTTGTCATTGTAGTCTAGGGCTTTGATTGACGGGATCGTGAAAATCAATGAGATCTTTCACCGACAAGAAGAGAGAGGTCGCGTGGCGTCGTTGCAGTTGTTGATTCTTGAAATTAGTTGATTTGGGCTCAGCATTGTGAGGGATTGAGCAGTTTTTAGGTGTGTGGGATGCTTTCCAATAGTTATGGTGGGCGTTTAGAGTTGCAATTAGGGTTAGAGTTAGGACGGGAGAGGGGTAGGAAGAGGATTGCAATGATTAGAGTTTGCAGTGATGGAGAGTGAAACCGATGGTAACTAAGACATAAAATGTATCAAATAGGTGTTCCATCGCTTTGCTATAAACCCTAGTCATTTCAATCTTCTTCCTACCCATCTCCCATGTTGGAATTGAGAGTGTCCTTCAAGCTAATAGCTGAATGTATTTGACATATTTAATCAATGGATGTATGTTTTTATAATTTACATGCATATCAGGCACAGATGTATTGTGGACACTCCCACTGAATTTTTTTGTTATTGCATTTTACACCCCTAAATTTGTATTTTTTTTGCATTTATACCCATAAAATTTTGAAATTGCCCCCACTGAAATTATGAAAATTCCCCCCCCCCCCACTCTCTCATATGAATTTCTAAATCCGTCCCTGATGCATATATACATATTTGGTGAATGCTTGTATTGAATGACTCTATAGTTGTGTCAAGGCTCCTTTGACAAACGCTAAATAATTTATGTGCATTCACGATGGAGATAAACGTATAGGAGTTATAAATCATAGAAATTAGCTTGTCATAAAATAGTTGGTTCGCACTTTTGAATAAGAGTTAAAGTCCGAAACAAATACTAAAATCGTTGTAGTATTGGATTGATGACTATACTATTTGTCCAATATCCTAATTTGTGCACAAAGGGGTGATAAAATATTTAAACATTATTGGGATTTACTCTAATGAGTACAAGTTCTCAAACTATCTCTCTACAATTGTTCTTATTCTAATAAGGAGCCCGCTCTTCCATATGTTTGTGGATTCCATAGAGGTTATAGGAGTGAAGAATTGGTGGTTTAAAGGACAAACTTAAAGAAATTTCGTGCAAAATCCTGCAGCCTATTTTTCAGCACGAAATGCAGTCACTAAAATAGGCAGAATTGAGAGTGGTCACAGGCGTTGGAAAGCTAACGAAGAGGGTTAAATCGTCACCAAAAACTATAATTTTTCGTCCGATTAGTACTGGATTTTGTTTAACTTTGTTTAAAGTTTCTTTGGTAGTTTGGAGTTTCCGGGTTGAAGCGCTTAAAGATTGTTTTTGAATCTCAAACAAGGTATGAAGTTTTAGTACCTAATTATATGATCCAACGACTTTTAAAGCTTCCGCATAGACCCCTTTTTCAACATCCCCAATTCTAACCCTAACCACCGCAACCACTGGAAAACATTCCACACACGCAGAGCCCAAGAAGCAACGAACCCAATGATGCCACATGATCTCTCTCTCTCTTCTTTCTAGTGAAAGATTTCATCGATTTTCCATAGTTGTGTCAATAAAATCCCTAGACGACAATGACAAGATCTGGTGGGACATGAGGTTTTTTGTGGAGGATTCTGTCGCCGAGAACCTTATTCAATCAAAATCCGACGATCTTGTCACTAAGACGCAACTCTTTCTCTAGAAAGAGATCATTGTACGCACATAGTCATTACACACACACACACACGTCTTTTACATAATATTTACACGCGACTACGCACATTTATATATCTACACAATTCATATCGTTTTCATCTATACAAACAGTCACACACGGACGTCAATATGCAGTTTCTATGTAGTAGCAGTGGTGTGTTTTTCTGTATGTTCTCAACAAAGGCGTGCAAGGCCTGGAGGCTTGAAGCTTGAACTTAGGGAGGCTATAAAGAACTCCACGCTTGCTGTTTTTCTGCTTTTTGAAGGCTTTTTAGGCAGATATGAGGGGGTATTGATAGGTCAAGGCTCATATCGTTAATAGCTAAAATGATATACGGTAGAATGCCGCACGGGGGCGCCCCATTTCGTGCGTGGAAGCACTGGGGCACGCCGCTGGCGTCTCAAGACTCCCAACCATTTCAATGGCGCTACACCGTATTTGACGACCAGAACTTCCAAATCCAAGGCCAAACCCTATTCTTCATCATTGTCCTCTTCTCCATCGTTCTCCTAATCACCCTTCTCTTCCTCTACACATGGTGGATCTGCCACTTTCGCCACCTCACATCCTGCGCCACCTCCGCGCCACACTGGGCTCACGTGCCGCCTACTCAACCGCAGGGCCTTGATTCAGCCACAATTAACAGTTTGTTGATGACACTCCACCGGTCATGGGCAAAGGTCGGTGTTTGCAACAAAGCCAAGTGCTATATTTGCCCTTTGTGTGTTTGAAGACGGTGACAAAGTGAAGATCTTGCCAGAGTGTGAACATTGTCATCACTTTTTAGTGTGTGGATAAGGGGCCCAATGCTTGTTCAAATTGCCCACATTGTCGAACTTCTGTCGGAGCTCACTCTCTTGTTTGACTTGGCAGTTGGTACCCTATTCTTTTTTCTTTCTTTTTTTTTTTTTTTTTTTTTTTCCTTAGTTGGTACTCACACACACATGCCTCCGCCGAGGTTCGAAACATAATGTCTTAGAATGTTTAACTTTCGAAAATCTGTCATTGGTACAAGTTCGAGCTTCAGAGTAACCATTTTGTAAAATATTTTCGCTCTTAGAGGATCCTGTGGCGGCGGACTCGAACTGGGTGATGTTTATAAATAATCTATGTATATTTATAATAATGAATGGGCAAATAATATATTCTGTCTAATTTCATGCATTTTGTATATTTGTGTGAAGCATTATTCAAGTTGCTATTGCTTGTTTTTGTTTTTGTTATAAATTAGGATCCATTTTCTTTTGTGACCCTATTGAGTTGTTTTGTTGTAATGACACTAATTTTCTCAAATTGAAATTGCTTGTGACTTGAATTTGTGGTTTTCAATGGCTTATGGTATAATGACTGACAAAAGAGGGATATGCATACTTTTATATCAGTATTAGAATTTTGTTTTACTTCTTTTTTTTCTCATAAATTTGAATTGATTTTATATATCTATTTCAGAATCTCCAAATAGAAGTGAGGAAGAATAGATGACTAGTGACCATTGTATGTTTTGTTGATGACTTTGAGACGGATTAGGGGCAATATTGCAGGTGTGTGCGTGTTTACTTCGTAATTTTGAAAAAAATAAACAAAAAAAAAATAGTAGGTGATTAGAGTGACTTATCTATTGTGTTACACTGGAATGCCTTGGATTGTAGTTCTACCATCGTATATATCTGTGCTCCGCCTGACGTTAATGAAATATCTGAATGTGTTTGTTTAGGTGGAACAGTGATGGTAGAATTGAGCATGTTTTCGTGTATGGTCAAAAATAGCATTTGCCGTTCATATTTGATCAATTTGAAACAGTTTTGTCTGATGCTTGTCATTCCTGCTGTCTGCTTCATGGACTGGTCTGGTATACCAAGTGCTTTCACAGTTACACGTTGCTAATAGGGCGACAGCCTAACAGAACATTTTCACTTTCCAAAGTGTTGCCGATTGATGCGTTTGTAATAAAGAAAGGGAAGATTTGTTTGTATAAATAAAATATAATGGAGAAATAAAAACCATTCAGGTTACTAACCTCCTCATTCTTTTGGGTCAGTCAATTATTATGGTATTGATGATGTTTTACATCAGTGTATCCCGTGAGTTATAGACATGGATTTACTTGGTTTAAAATGTGATGGTTTTAATATTGACGATCAAATTTCTTTTGAGCACGGGGTGGGTGATATCTGAATATACAAAAAATATGGGTATAAAGAAAAATAAAATAAATATATAATGTAAAACACAAGGATTATTATTAGCATATCATCATTCACATTTATGGAAAAATTCAGTGTCATCTTCCGAAAAAAAAAAAAAAAATTCAATGTGTCAAATTCTTACCACCGGGCCATAAATGGCTTTTTATCAAAAGCATATATGATAGACATGACAACGAAGGTATCAAGAAGAGATTGAACGATTTGAAGCATACTTGACGAGATTTACGAGTTTGGTCACATAAGTACCATTTTTTGTGCATGCAGCTATCATTTTTTGTGAATCAAAAGTGATACCTGATGTATAAAAAGTAATACATTCGCACAAAAAGTGATACATCCGTGAGGATAAACAGTGTTTTTTTAGATATTTTGGTTAACTTTATTTTTTCGAAATTATGAGACTGACTTCACTTCATTAAATGATAAATATGAGTCATTAGCACTAATAATCCCAAATAAAAATATCTCTACTGTTTCATCTCTTCAAATAAACTTTATACCAAAGTGTCATGCCCCCAAATTTAGATACCGGAACATCTAGTCCAAATACCTAAAACTTGATGCCCAACTCTAATCCAACCTTACTAACCCATACAAAAGAAGCAGCAACCCAGAACAAAATAGTGAACCCATCAAATCACTAGAATAGAGTTCTAGTCTCTTTCTTTCTTGGTCGAGTGCCAATCAGCCCTTGGTACCTGAAAGGATATAAAGGAGTGAATGACCTCACAAACTCAGCAAGTAATTATTCAACACAATCAATCAATGTTCAATATATTATATATAAAGGCAACTCATACAAGGTACATTAATCAATTTGTTTATAATAATTAATTTTTAATTAGTTACTAAATATTTCAAGTTGACTACGAAATCATAACTACTATCTCATTCATTCATTCATCATCATCATCATCATCATCATTCTCGTATGTACAATCATTCATACCTCATTAATCATTATATTAAAATTCAAAATTCACACAATTTGTTTTGTACTTATTAACATTCCGAATACTCAAAACTTAGGGACCTAAAGGAACCAACTATTGGGTAATCAACTTATTAAATACCCTGAAGTGTGTCTAAAAATTTGGATTTAGTATTACCAATTATAAATTTTGGTAATTTATGGAAATTTCCTGAAACTTATTTCTATTTTTCTGTAAATTTTTGTAATTAAATAAATTTTACCTTGGTCGATTGTAGCAACTGTTTTACGCCTGCACATCAAGGCTTCCATCTCCGTAATTCCCGCATAGACCTTTGCTTCAAAGGTTTCAACAGGACCAACATCCTTATTCTTGGCCTCAAAGGTAATGAAAAACATGGCACCAGAAACAGGTTGCATGTTTGCCTTCACAACCTTCACAAACTCGTAATTTTCATCCTACAAGACATTTTACAATACGAAAAGGGGTTTGGGGTTACAAAGAATTGAAGATTTGCACAAAAGGAAGGAAAAATTAAACTACATACGTTTCTGCCGTTGAAATCCTGAATTGCTAAAAGTGAACACGTGTTAAGTTCTTCGAGACTTGATTCATCCTCGAACGGTTCACCAGGTACGAGATATGGTACGATGATACCCAGCGCAAAGACGTTGGGAAATTCAGGAACATCAAACCCCTGTAATGTGCATTAATTATATTTATCTAAATACATTAACAAACAAACACACACAAATATAGATGAATTATTGAGGGCATAAGCTTGATGTTCCATTATAAGCTTATATAAATAATCACAGGTAAATAGCAATAAATTACAATTACAAAACTCATACACATCGAATATACTAATAAAAGTATATAACATCATTCCAAATACTACCAAATTCCACAACACCAAAAATTAAAACAAATTGAGGGCATACATGTATTAGGTCAAAATATAACATAGATAGAAAAGACACTTACATCGCTCTCTTGAACACGAGTATAGTACTCGAAACACTCTTTCCTGGTCATATTATGAAGCCCATCATTATACCCATCATCAGAATAACCCTCTTCTTCTCCTTCGCTATCACTATTGGGATCTCTGGATTTCTGGTTTTCCTCTTCATCATCATCATACGATTTATCGCAATGAGGTTGTGCTTTGTTCGAGCCAGATGAATCCATGTTCGCAGCACCGATTTTGTGGGAAAACAGAGAAAACCCTAACCACAACCACAAGGAAAACAACACACTCCGTGTGTGTGTATATATATAGAAGAGTAATCCACACAAAATTGTCTAATTAAATAATTTTTAATTAAATATTTATACTAAATATAATATGGTGAGGATTCTACAGTTTCTACTTCCTTATTTGTTCGATGCAACAATACAAACGCCTAAATTGATTTAAGGTTTTATTTGGATAAGTTGGACCAAAATTAAAACACAAAAGGCAGTTTAGAAAACAAATGCTTCCTCACGCCACTAGGAATCTCCTACTTATGCTTACATGGACCACTAACAATTTGATACAGTATATATCTATACCCTTATTGCAATATTTTGTTTCAGTACATATATTATATAATAAATTTAATAAATAAAATAAAATAAAATCTAATTAAAAAATATATATAATATATAGATATAGACAAATCTAATTAAAAAAGGAAAGATATATATATAATTAAACTACTAAAATTCAATAAAAGTAAATTTATACAAAATTATTTTCATATTTCGTTTTTTTATAATTGTCTAAGTTATTTTATAATTGTCTAAGTTACTCGGAAAAAAAATCTAATTAGAGAAGAAAATATAATATATAGATGTAGACAAATCTAATTAAATAAGGAAATATATATAAAAAATATTAAACTATAAAAGGAAACTTATACAAAATTATTTTTATATTTAGTTTTTTTTATAATTATTTTTATATTTAGTTTTTTTATAATTGTCTAAGTTACCCGATTTTTTTTTTGGTCTAAAATACTAAAAATAATATAGTTGTATGAAATCAAATTATAGAAGGAAATATATAATACTAGTAAAATTAAAATCTAATTAGAGACGGAAATATAATATATATATGGGCAGTGATAGTTGGGCCGATGATTTTGGCAGATTAGTTTGGCAGGATACACATGGCAAGATAAGCAACTTTAACAATTAAAAAAAGGAAAGAAAATAAAAAGAGAAACAATATACGCGTTTGCAGATTCATCTTTCCCAGGTTGTTAAGTTTTAGGTTAAGTTCTTCTCTAACTTTTGATTTTTAAAGTATATGGTTGCAACCTCATATCATATATCATATTCATATATATTTATATATATTATACCATATGTGTAATTTTTTTATTTTGGAAGGTAAATATGTGTATTTATTTGTTTGATTATATTGTTCTTCACAGTTTATAAAAAAATTTCAAAGAGATATTAGAGAGAGAAATACAATGAGAAAAAGAAATAAAGGAGAGAGAAGAGATGAGAGAGAAAGAGATGGAAGTGGCCTAGTTGGACAGGCCACGTAACTTCTGCAAAAGTAATCGATCAAATACTTATGTTGAAATATCATTTTCCTATATGGATATAGACAAATCTAATTAAAAAAGGAAACATACATATATATATATATATATAGTTGTACACACACACACACATTTGTCTAAATACTACTAATAATAATATAGTTGTATGAAATCAAATTAGAGAAGGAAATAAGTTACTCGAATTTAATCTTTTTGTCTAAATACTATTTCTAATAATATAGTTGTATGAAATCAAATTAGAGAATGAAATATATAATATTAAAAAATTTTAATAAAAGAAAATATAATACATGTTTGGTAAAAATTCGTCTACTAATTTTAATTTTAGTATAAAGAAATAAAATTAGAAAATAATATGTTCGGTAAGAGTTAAGGAAATAAGGAAATACAATTGGAAATAAGGAATAAGGAATTGGTTTTTTTAATATATGTTTTACTTTTACGTCTATTATACCTTGCTCGTTCTTTCTTTGTTTCAGAAGCATCATGAAAGTATTTTATTTTATATCAAATGTTTTATGTTTGGTTGGTGACAACAATGGTTTGGTTGGCGACAATAATGGTTGATCTTGTAAATTTAATATGCATGATTTATTTTTTTTATTATTTCAAAAGTATCATGAAAGTATTTTAGTTATTTTTTATTCTATATTTTACCTCTACTACATATGCTCATTTTCTCTTTGTAATTGGTGTTTAGATTTTCCTCTCAAAAGGTGGCAATCATCTGATGAGTTCATTATGATTATGTTTTTCTTCTTTAGTTTTTATTTTTATTTTCTCATAAGCACCATGAAAATATTTTATTTTTTATTCTTTGTTTAATGTTTGATTGGTGACAACAATGGTTGATCTTGTAAATTTAGTTCGCATTGTGATTTATTTTTAATTTTTTTTTCAAGAAGTATCATGAAAGTATTTTATAAATATATATTTTTACATAATTTGAATTTTTTTTTTTTATTATTTTTGATTTCTCTTATTTTCAATTCATTTTCTTTGTTTAGATTCTTTCCTTCTAGAGTAGGAGTGGCAAATTTTGACATTCGAAAACGACATGAGTTAAACGGGTTTGGATTGACCTTAAACGGGTTTGGATCGTAAAGGGTCACCACGATTAATTCGTTTAGTTTATCATAGTTGAGGGGTTCAACCCGTGTAATTATACATATCATAAGCAAATTTCTATTGAAGTTCTAAAATAATTATCTAACTTGTATCTTATCATTTATTTATTTGTAGATTATAGATTATTTACTGATTTGGTTAGATTGAAACTTGGTATTTAATATTTGACAGAGTATTATTAATAATTTAAATAATAAAATATTTAATTTTATTAAACATGTCATTAAACAGGTTACACATATAATCCATTTAATAAATAGGTCGGGTTAGTATTGAGGGTTCCTGATACGATTGTTAAATGGGTCGTGCTGGGTTGAGCTATTTATTAGAATATCCTCAGATCAATATGACACGATTATGACCCTCGAGCTGAAGAAGTATCAAGGGAGAGAAGGATAAAAAATTGTAGTGCAAATTTAGGATTTTAATTAGGTTTATTCCATACAAAATTTGGATTTTTTTTTTTTTTAATGATTTTTTTCAATTCATTTTCTCTATTTTGAATTTTTTTATGAATTGATTAGCAACTTTTTAGAATTTTTCAATAATTAAAAATAAGTTACTAATTAAAACATCATCATTAAAAATAAATAAATATTTTAATAAAATAAGATACCAATTAAAAGTTACAAGTTACAAGTTACCAATCAAATAAGTTTTCAATAAAAAGTTAAAAGTTACCAAAAATAAGTTTTCTTATTTAGGAACGTGCCAATAGAAAAGTGATTAGTTACAGTGAATTATTAAATTTATTTTTTTAATTAGCCAATTATGAAATAAATAAATAAAAAAATCGAACTCTCCACAATTTTAGTTACTAAAGAGAGAGAGAAGGGTTTTTGGTGGTCGAATTGTACATGCATCCGTCCCTCACTGATGTGATCCATTTTCATGGTCCATAATCTAGTGGTGGAATGGGTCTAGATGATGATGCTTGAAGAGGTATTCAGTGTTTCTATCTCTAAAATTCCTGTCCTCTCTTTGGGTTTGGCGATACAAGGGCATTATTGTCCTCCAATTACGGTGGTGGAGTGGCGATAGTGGTGGTATTGTATTGGGTGAGATGTTTACGGTGCTTTTTCTAATAAGAACAGGTAAAAGAAAAAAAGAAAAAAGAATATGTAACCTACTAAAAAAAATAGGATAAAATATACTAATTTTTTTTTAAAATTTAGACAAATTATACGTGAAAAGAGTATTTGAATTTTATTACTTGATCGTGATTTGATGTCAACATTAGTGAAAATTAAAAAATTGTCAAAAGATCTCAATAACCCGAATCTACTACAACAATTTTTAAAGCTTACCCATTTTTCAACATCCCAAATTCTAAATCTAACCCTAACCCTAACCCTAACCCTAATGCAACTCCAAACGCCCACCGCAACCATTGGAAAACATTCTATACACGCAGAGCTCTTACCAGTGAAAGATCAAAAGCCCTAGACCACTATGACAAGATCTGGTTGACAACCTTATTCAATCAAAATCTGACGATCTTTTTCTTCACTAAGACGCAACTCTTTCTCTATAAAGAGATCATTGTACACAAACAGGTATTACACACACAGGCGTCTTTTACATAATATTCACATGATTACTACGATATGCAGTGTTTATGTAATAGCAGTGGTGTGTTTTTCTGTAGGTTCTCAACAAGGGCTTGAAGCTTGAACTTTGGGAGGCTATAAAGAACTCCACGCTTGCTGTTTTTTTTCTGCTTTTTGAAGGCTTTTTAGGCTGATATGAGGGGGTATTGATAGCTCAAGGCTCATATCGTTAATAGCTAAAATGATATACGGTGGAAGGCCGCAACGGGGGCGCCCCATTTCGTGCGTGGAAGCACTGGGGCACGCTCGCTGGCGTCTCAAGACTCCCAACCATTTCAATGGCGACCAGAACTTCCAAATCCAAGGCCAAACCCTATTCTGCATCATTGTCCTCTTCTCCATCGTTCTCCTAATCACCCGCCTGGATCTGCCGCTTTCGCCACCTCACATCCTGCGCCACCTCTGCCCGCACCGCCTACTCAACCGCAGGGCCTTGATTCAGCTACAATTAACAGCTTGTTGATCATAGGTGGGTGTTTGCGACGAAGCCGAGTGCTATGTATTTGATCTCTTGTTTGACCACTCTCTTCTATGAAGATAATGTCTTTGAATGTTTAACTTTCAAAAATCTGTCATTGGTACAAGTTCGAGCTTCAGAGTAACCATTTTGTAAAATATTTTCGCTCTTAGATGAAGTCATGCTTCTCGGATTTATTTTCTTTTGAGCACGGGGTGGGTGATTTCTGAATATGCAAAAAATATTGGTATAAAGAAAAATAAAATAAATAAAAAATGTGAAACACAAGGATTATTATCATATCATCATCATCATTCACATTTATGGAAGCATATATGATAGACGTGACAAGGAAGGTATTAAGAATCGTGTAGACAAGAGATTGAATGATTTGAAGCATACTTAATGAGATTGAAAATTTGAAACCACCACATATCAAGCTTTCAAAATTGACAATGAGATGCCGTTTCCAAATAAAAACATCTCTACTGTTTCATCTCCTCAAATAAACTTTATACCAGAGTGTCAGGCCCCCAGTTTTAGATACCGGAACATCTAGTCCAAATACCTAAAACTTGTTGCCCAACTCTAATCCAACCTTACTAACCCATACAAAAGTAGCAGTAACCCAGAACAAAATATGAAAAGGAGTGAGCCGATCAAATCACTAGAATAGAGTTCTAGTCTGTCTGCCCGGTCCAGTGCCAATCAGTCCTTAGTTTATATCCAGTCATCATCATTACCGTCGTGGAATCTCAATATTAGATAACTAATATCTCATTCGTCATCATCATCATTCTTGTATGTATGATAATTCATACCTCATTAATCATTGTATTGAAATTCAAAATTCACACAATTTTTTTTGTATAACAATTTTCTCAATTACAGACCATAAATTAGTTAACCATCTCGATTAAGTTTGTTAGATTTCCACCAAGTTGCATGAAATTTCTTAAATTGATTAGTTAACCATCTTGATTAATTTTTTGACAACTTTTCACTTATTAAACGTAAGTCCCAGGCGTAAAACAGATGGCTTGGTCCCAAAGCCCATCGACAATCTAAGTGTTAGGTCACGCTCAACCCAAATGGCCATATGACATTATCATCAAATAGCAAGTCCCAGACCTTGCCTAGCATAAGAATCCGACTCTAACCTACTGCAAATGAATCGTCACTGTCCCAAATAGTTCATACTAATCTAAGGAGATCATGGGGCGCACATCTGCTCAAAGACAGCCCTACATAATCTCAATTGTCTGTGGATTAGTTTCAATTTTTGTTCAAGTTCTTAATATTTTATGGATTATAATAACTAACTTTAATTATGTGTATAAATTGTAATTAATCTTTCAATTGGACTTATATAGGTTGTATTTATCATACTATATTTAATTTCCCCCTTGATTCCATTTACTTACTTTTCATTGGATTTAACACCCTTCAATTTTATTATCAAAACATTCTCCAAAGTTGTTGACCCGGTCAACAACAAACATGTTCAATGCATTCTCAAGCATTGTTCTCATCCTCAATAGTAATTCCACGTAATTATCAACCATTTACGTAAAGTGTTTTGTACTTGTTAACATTCCGAACATGTACTCAAAACTTAGGGACCTAAAAGAACCAATTATTGGGTAATCAACTTATTAAATAGCCTAAAGTCTGTCTAAAATTTGGATTTAGTATTACCAGTAATAAATTTTGGTAATTTATGGAAATTTCCTGAAACTTATTTCTATTTTTCTTCAAATTTTTGTAATTAAAACTAATTAAGAATTATTAATATTTATAAATTACTATCAGATCGATCCGAGAGTAGGCCCATCATGATGGCCTCAGCGCGTGGAGTTAGGAAGGCCCATTCTACTGCCAAACTACCACCTGTCAAAGCCTCACGCCCCACACGCCTCCAGGTGCACCTGGACTTGCGTTGCTCACTGTTTCTCTTCTTCCCCAATTGTTTCTCTTCAGATATACATCCATGAACCCTATTTCACAACCCCAGCCTTTCTTAATCCCAAATTCGACCACCAAATAGCCTCATACATGTTTAAATTATGGACATTTCAATATAGATTCAAAAGTCAAGTTATTGAGTGAAATTTGTGTTCCTTTGCAAGTTCATGCACCCAAATTGAATTAAAAAAGAAGTTCCGTGTTAACCACCTATGCAATTTGTTTGTATAAACAGATTTTCACGAGTTAGAACATAATCATACTAACCTATATATAAACATATGTATATGTATAATCTGCTCATGTACCCATAGATATATTCATCCAGTTATTCATTATCAACACCTCAAGATGTACTTACAAAATTATGCTTTGTATACTTAACCCACCAGATTTGATAATCATCCTCATTCAGTAGATAATTTCCATCCAGTCTCCATCCAGTCACACATAAATTCATGATAATCACACCTTGTTAAGCAGTCAATTATTATTTTGTGCTTTAATAAACATTGTTAATTGAAGTCACCAGTTTCCTGTAATTTACATGCTGCTTTATAATCTATAAAAACAAATTTAAATTAATTAACTTAATCTAACAAATCAAATAAACTAACTAACTATGATATACCATATTCCTAATTAAAGTAGGGCTATGACTCATATATAATATAAAATTCCCCAAAATTAATCATTTGACCCTCAACTATTTAAAAATCAATTTTAAACTTTTGTGGGTATTACACATAGGATTTAATAGCAAACACAACAATCATTCCAAAGTTAAAAAAAATCAAATTCTACCAATTATCATTCAATCAAATAAAAGAAAATTAAAATAAACTGGTATCCAGTTACTGAATTAATTTTACCTTGGTCAATTGTAGCAACTTTTTTACGCCTGCACATCAAGACTTCCATCTCCGTAATTCCCGCATAGACCTTCGCTTCAAAGGTTTCAACAGGACCAATATTCTTATTCTTGGCCTCAAAGGTAATGAAAAACATGGCACCAGAAACAGGCTGCATGTTTGCCTTCCCAACCTTCACAAACACGTAATTTTCACCCTACAAGGCAATTTACAATATGAAAAGGGGGTTACAAAGAATTGAAGACTTACACAAAAGGAAAAATAAATTGGAAAAATAAAACAACATACGTTTCTTCTGTTGAAATCCTCAACTGCTAAAAGTGAACACGTGTTAAGCTCTTTGAGACTTGATTCATCCTCGAACGGTTCACCAGGTATGAGATATGGTACAATGATACCCAGTGCAAAGACGTTGGGAAATTCAGGAACATCAAACCCCTGTAATGTGCATAAATTATATTTATCTAAATACAACACACACACACACACACACACACACACATATAGATGAATTATTGAGGGCATAAGCTTGATTTTCCAGTATAAGGTTATAGAAATAATCATAGTTCAGGGAAAACAAAAATCAATAAGGGTAAATGGCAATAAATTATTCACATTATTCATATATATCCAAATTGTTTCATATCCTCAAACCAACTTATTACAAAACCTCATACACATCGGATATACTAATAAAAGTATACCACAATCATTCAAAATACTATCAAATTCCACAAGGCCACAAATTATGATTATTAAATCAAATAAAAAAAATTAAAACAAATTGCTATTGAGGGCATAAATGTATTAGGTTGAAATATAATATGGATGGAAGAGACACTTACATCGTTCTCTCCAGCATGTATTAGGTTGAAATAAAGTGTACTGCATATACGTCACAATTTTCCGCTCACAAAAGATGAGATCTAATCTTAGTGTCAGAGAGGGGAATAATAAGACAATGAGCTTAAGTAACATGACATAATTGTTATTGCACACGCTTGGAAGTATGATGAACGCATACAACCAAAAGAGATGTTCAGATGCAGTACAATGCAACAGAACTCTGTAAAGATATCACGAGATTCAAATAAAAAATTTCAGATGTCCAAGAACGTGAGGTGAAATTTAAATAACCTAACAGCAGGCAGGTATTCCAAAGATCACAATGTAAAAGGTACATTACCAATTAGCTCTAGCTTAGTAAGTCTAAGTGAAGTGAGGATATGATATTGTTTGTTCAAGTCCTTAGGAATAGTTCTTATGTGTTCCCAAAAACATAGCATGTAAAGAACAGTAAAATATCATGAGACAATAAGATATAGTATACCCCATTAAATCTGCAAATGTACAGTGGCAGCATTTGCTGCCTCATTCCTTCCTCTTATTCTCTCTCAAGTAGCACAAAATTTACAAATTTAGAACGAAAATATTTTTGAAGTTTCTCTACATTTCTTGTTGGCATATAAGATGGACTTGTAAAAAAGGCAATTGGCTTACTTATCAAAAAATAATAAAAATAAATAAATAAGGAAGCCAATTGGCTGCAGAATAGTTCAAAGGTTAAATAATCTAAATGCTCTCAAATAGACACATATTTACAAGGTTATCATAAATTAAGGAAATTTAATCTTAGGATAAGTAATTATTAAGCCAATGTTTGGAAAGACAAAATCGCGGGTTGCCATTTTACCATAGTAAAAGATCTATCTAGGGACCTCCAGCAATCTAAATTCTCATGCCAGGTCCACCTCCTTTCATAAATAAAATTGAAAATTTATGCTGAGTAAATTGAACTCTAATCCTCCAAATATCAAGAGATCCAAATCCACAATCAACTAGAAGTTGAAACAAAAACACCAACAGATGATCACGTCTGCTTTCAACCTCAAACACAAGGAAATGAGTTATTCTCCAAAATATTTTCATTACACATCTTCATCATATCCGTTTCGTGGGATGATTAATGAGGCAAGATGTTTTAACAGGCCACAGCCACTCCTTCCTGCCATATCTTTCATTATTCGCATTAAAACCTATTCCTATGATAATTCTACAGGAATATCTCCATCATAGTGCACATACTCTCCTAAAAACTCAGAAACTAGCCTTATTCCTGTCAAGGGGAAAGATTTACCAATTTATTACAATCAAAGATAGAATGAAAAGAACAGATTGAGATACAAATAAGGGAACCTCATGATGCAGACAATTAATCAATGATTCAGACAATCTAAAATATTGTTGAAAGCCAAAGATGAACTCAAGTCACGTAACTAGTTATTTTCAAAATGGTTCCATTTCCACGTTTGAACAAATCATTATTTATTATACAAAACTTTGAGCCAAATTTGCATTTTCTTTATATATCTTAAGGACTCTAAAGCTCTGTACAATAGACACCAGAAAGAACACTAAAAAAAAAACTCATCCAAGACTCGTTACCCAATTGAGGAAAACAAAAATAAAAAAAAACAAGGCAAGAAAGAAAAAGGATGATCCCCGATAGCAAAGCCAACTCTAAACTACAAAGATTTTACATCCGTGAAACTCATGATACACTTGGTATTTGTTCCCTGACAAGGAATTTCTAAAAAGACACAAAAGCATTGTCTACATCCTGAATACCTGCTACATTTCGTATACGAAGGGGAAGTTCATTCTTTACCACAAATTTCTTAGGAAAAAAAAAAATCATATGGGAAAAACTCACTAGAAAAGTTAATCAGACAGCTTCCAGATAAACATAACCAAGGGAAGATGAGAATGGGATAGCATATTGTAACACATAAAGAATAAAACTTACAGAAGTATGCTTTACACAGAATAATTAAAAAACACACACACACACACACACAAAAAAAAGGAATTAGAAAAATAAAAACAGATTCTAACTAGAAACTCTAAGCATGACAACTGTGTTCAAAACAAATTCTAACAATTAAATTTCGAGTATACTGCAGCTGTTACTGTAATCAAATCTCAGATCCAGACTGCAGGAACCAAAATATTGAGCACTTCAATTCCAAAATGCCTAAATTTGCCAACCCCAAGTTTGATCTTGTTCCTTGTGATGTCCCTTTTAATTCTTATTTATCAAAAAAAATAAGAATTAAACCCCTACCCCAACAGTAGGTGTCTTCTTAAGAGACACTCTATTTTCAAGCTTGACAAACTAAGTTTTCCAGATGCACCATAAATGGCTTATAGAACTCAATACAACAATTCAAAGAAACTACCGAAACTCAGAAAAGTAAAATCTATGTTACAATGATAAAAAAATCTTTTCAATTGTCTCCGTCAATTATCCAACGGGATGCAAGTCAAATTCAATATGCAGTTTCAGGAGAAGGTATCAGATGTGGCAAGGAAAAAGGGAGTCACCCTCATCTAGTCTACCCTCTGAGCATCGTCGATTAATGGGGGCCATACCAGGTAACAACAACCTTTTTATAACAAACCTGATTAAGCTCAAGTAATATTAATATGATGCTCACAACTTGTTCTACTGATTAATTTACATGATAACTTGAAGGCTAGATGGAAAATATGGCAAGTTTTGGGGCATGCATGGACAAGGCTTTGCATCATTACATGGCTAACTCTTATCAAAAATCAAACATGCAACTTAAAGTGAAAACTAAACTTGTTCGCTCTAATGGTAAATTCTTGGAGTAAATATTTAGTGAATCATATTGTTTCCTCTTTTGGTAAGTTTAATGCATCATCTTTTTTCAATATATATATATATATATATATATATATATATATATATATATTAGGGCTAATTCCATAAAACCCCCACTACTTTCAAAGTTTGATCATAAATCCCCAACCTGTTTCAGAAAACCCCTGACACTTTAAAAAGTGATCACATTGCCCCAATATTCGTGTCCGACCTGTTAACCGGGTTGTGAAATGTTGAATTTGACCTTGCTATTTAATATTAAATTAAAAAATATAATAATTATTGTTGAAGTTACATAAATACCCCATGTCTTCTGCCTCCTCTTCACCCCTGAAACTTTTACCCCCTTTCTTTCTCTAAACCAAAACCACAACAACAAAATCCAAAATCCAAACATCACTTACCAATCTCTGTTTATCTTTAGTTCTTCATATTTGCTGTGATATATATTGCATTTATATGGGGTAATTTGAGTAATGATATAATGGGTTAATTTGAGTAATTTAGTGTAATTGCTATGCACACACACACACACACGCATATATACGCAATAATTTGAGTAATGATATGATTGGTTAATTTGAGCAATTTGGTGTAATTGCATCATATCTATATATATATATATATATATTTCATATCTACAAATTAACTCATATTTATATATGGTGGTTTGTTTTACTTATAAAAAAAATATATATATAGTGGTTTGTTTTTGGTACAGGTTTCATTTTGGTTGGTGAATCACAAAAATTTTCTTGTGATTGTTGGAGGGTTGTGAACGCAAGTGGGTTTGTGAACAAAATCGATGACTTTGGTCTGGGTTGCACAGAATCAGTAGTCCATGGGAGCGATGATTGGCGATCTTGAGATTTTCGTAACCATAGGCATTGATGATGGGAGTGAGAATTAGCTCACCGTGGTAAGCCGCCATGAAGAGCAGCGACCGACCTTGGGTTGCGATTTGGAGAAGGTTGGGTCGCTGGTTAGCCAACTAATAGTTTTTGAGAGGGATGGTGGTCGTCGTCCATAGTAGTTTCCAGGTTGTGCTCTGGTGACCTAGTTTTACGTGAAGAAATTAGCGACCTTCATGATCACTGCCAGTAACCTTTTATGGGTCGTTTGAAAGTAGCGGGTCGCTGCTATTTGCGGTGACCAAAACTCTACACCGGACGGGGGTTGTGGTTTAGAGATTAAAAGGAGGGGGAGAAGAGGAGGAAGAAAATGGGAGTATTTTTGTAACTTCAGAAATAGTAATTATATTTTTTAGTTTAATATTAAATAGCAAGGTCAAATTCGACATTTCGGAGCCCGGTTAACAGGTCGGATACAGATATTGGGGCAATATGATAACTATTTAAAGTGTTGGGGGTTTTCTGAAACAGGTTGGGGATTTATGATCAAACTTTGAAAGTAGTGGGGGTTTTATGGAATTAGCCCTATATATTATGATAAGTAAGAACATATTAAAAAACGCATCCCGAAAGCTACACAAAGGCCGAAGCCAAAGAAAGAGGTCCCAAGGACTCAAGGAACCCAAAAATAAAAAAAACTCCTCAATATATTCTCAATATGAAAATATATCAGGCTTGCAAAAAACAACTACCTTACAATATTCTAAAAAGTAAGTCAATCCCAATTGGAATATGATCGAAATAAAAAATTTCTATTTAATAGGGTTTCTTCCTCTACCTATAAATTCCATTGGACGCATAAATGATATATTGGAAGAATCCTTTGGGTCTTTCAACATCAATAGGTTAATTGTTTAGCTCCTGTATCTTCCAAAAGGAAGAAAGATCTCTGAGAGTTGTTTCCTAGATCCGAAAGTGGGCACTAGAGTTCCCCCCTAAAAGTGTATCATGCCTGAATCTAGATGGGATTTGCGGTGGTGGAGGAACTGGATTGGCTATTTGGGGGTAAACCATTTACTGCATATGTATACGTGTTCCTGATCAAAGTACTACAGTAATCCATGTTAAGCTCTTCGAGTGATAATTCATCCTAGAACTCTTCGCCAGGCTTGAGATATGGTACAATGATACCCAGCGCAAAAGCGTTGGGAAATTCAGGAACATTAAACCCCTGTAATGTGCATAAATTATATTTATCTAAATAAATTAACAAACACACACACACATAGATAAATTATTGCAGGCATAAGCTTAATGTTCCAGTATTAGGTTATAGAAACAATCAGAGTTCAGGGAAAACAAAAACAAATAAGGGTAAATAGCAATAAATTATTGACATTATTCATATATATCCATATTGTTTCATATCCTCAAACAAGTAACTACAAAACCTCCTACACATAGAATATATTAATACAAGTATACAACCATCATTCCAAATACTATCAAATTCCACAAGGCCACAAATTATGATTATTAAATCAAATAAAAAAAATTAAAACAAATTGCTATTGAGGGCACACATGTATTAGGTTGAAATATAATATAGACGGAAGAGACACTTACATCGCTCTCTTGAACACGAGTATAGTACTCGAAACACTCTTTCTTGGTCATCTCGTGAAGGCCATCATTATACCCATCATCAGAAGAACCCTCTCCTTCTTCTTCGCTATCGCAATGAGGTTGTGCTATCTTCGAGCCAGATGAATCCATGTTCGCAGCACCGAATTTGTGGAAAACACAGAAAACCCTAACCCCAACCCCAACCCCAACCCCAACCACAAAGCACACTCACTCCCGTGTATTCTTCTATTCTTTGCTAGAACGCGTAAATTGATTGAGAAGTACTTCCATCCTGCGCAGGGAGGCTGAAATCCTCCCTGCTTACGTGGCCACTTGTTGTTACTCCACGTGTCTAATAATAAAAATGGGCGCCACATGTTGTTACGCCACGTGTCTAATAATAAAAATGGGCGCCACATGTTGTTAAGCCACGTGTCCAATAATAAAAATGGGCATTGCCCACATTTTTGCGGGTTGAACCCTTCCCCTGTCAGTCTCTCTCTCTCTCTCTCTCTCTCTCTCTCTCCAAATGCGATCACCCAAATTTTCATTGCCTCCGCCTTTTTAAATTAAGTTCAATTTGATGCCTTCCTTAGTTCTGGGGTTGGGCATTTGATTATCAAGTTCGCATCAATTTGATGCCTTCCTCAGTTCCGACGGCGGCGCACCACCTGTCCCGCATTCACTAGGCTTGGATCTTCCCAAAGATCCCAGTGGAAATAGCATAAAAAAAGTGACCTTTAGAAATGGAGAGATGGGTTTCACAGGGCTCACCTTTCTCTTCACCAGAACGCCAATTGAAGTTTGACAGCTCAGAGAAACAATGAAGTTAGAGAGAGATAGAGAGAGGAGAGTGTGTGTGTGAAAGCTTTGACAGTAATGAAGAGGAAAGTGTTCTGTTTGGAAGAAAAGTAAAGTTGGTTTCAGCTTGCAAAGACCTTGGGAAGATAGATTAATTGAGTAAAATAATTGGGGAAAAAAATGAAAAGCAAAAGGTTGGTGAGAGAGCCAATCATATCAATAAAATTCATTAAGATCAAGCGGTGGATATAAATAGTCAGTGTATTCGGTCTGAGCCTCGTTTAGAGAAGATTGATTCATCAAAAGATGGGAAGATCCGAGAACGCGTCGTCGGTGGGGACGAACAAGGTAATTCCGGCACCACCTTCACGGGCTTCAACGTCGGCAACATAATTCCGGCACCGCCTTCACGGGCTTCACCGTCGGCAACACGACCAGGTTAATTCCGGCATCGCCTTCACGGGCCTCACCGTCGGCAACCATAACCTCTTCACTCTCGGCGCCATCACCAAGAGCCAAAAATATTTCATCGCAGATGTAACTCATCCGACGTCATTCATCTTCTTCCGCCAGATCTCCGATGTTCTCCTCACCGCCGACCACCTCACCAACAACTGCCGTCGACCGAGAAGTGGCCGGTGGTTTCTTCAGAGCTCTATGCAGCTGCCTGCATTTAGAGAGAGAAAAGAGAAAAATTGGTGTGACCCATTTTTATTATTGGACACATGTCATAACCACATGCGGCCACGTCAGTAGGGAGATGAACTTCATCCCGCGCAAGGATGAAAGTATTTTCCAAATTGATTTAAGGCTTTGTTTGGATAAGTTGGGCCGTTTAGAAAACAAATGATCCTCAGGCCGCATAGTAGGAATCTCCTACTTATGCTTACGTGGAACACTTACAATTTGACACGTGTCAGAGAGAGAGATATATATATATATTCCCTTCACGTTCTCAAGTATATATATATATATTCCCTTCACGTTCTCAAGTCTTTTTTCGGAAGTTTCACGTTCTCAAGTTCCTCAAATCGATTTTCCAACTTAGATTGTATTGAGTGGATTCTTATATTTTTTCAAAATTTTCAAAACTAGTTGTTAGTTGTTTACACTACCAAAAATTCCCAGGTCACAAATTTGTTGCGGTGTAGTCTACTCCATAATAGTAAGGGTAGATTGGGCCAAATATGGCGGTAGTCTGGCAAAAAAAAAGGCAGATCTCTGAGTTCAAGGAGGCGTTCAGCTTGTTTGACAAGGATGGAAACGGTTCGATTTCTCCTTCATAACTTATTTATTTATTTTTTATTTTTTTTATTTTAAAAGGTTTCATAACTTCTTTTTTCATTCCTGTTATATTTGTATCAATATATGTTTGTTTATTTGAGACCTTTTATCAGATCTAGAAAACCTTCGGATTTTTTATTTTTTATTTTTATTTTTGTTTATATATATATATATATATATATTTATAAGAAAGGTCAAGTGTTTTGATGCTGCAGGCTGTGAGGCCTTTTCCCCTAATTTTGCATGATCTGAATGGGTTATTTTATGTTTCGGTCTTTGTGTCGTCTTTTGATTTTTTTGGGATTCAATGAGGAGAAAGAATGGAAAATGTAGTGGAACTTCTTTTTACTTGTCTGTTATTTTTTTAAGGTATGGATTTTGTTTAGGATTGTGGGTTCGGTATTGTTTTGGTTTGTTCGCCGATTGGGATGCAATCATCATCTATGTTTTTTTTTTTTTTTTAATTGGCATTTTGGAGGTTGATCAAGTGATCTTTTCTTTTTAAATGAATTTGTTTGATGAGACTTTGCATGTCAATGAGTGTTTTTTTTTTAAATGCATGTATTTTGTTTAGGATTGTGGGCTCAGTATCGCTCGACTGAAATATTGTAAGTGGAATGATTCAGATGAGATGATCATCTATGTTTGTTTTTTATTTTTTTAAATTGTCATTCTGGAAGTTGATTTGGGTTTTCTGTTTCTTTTGTCAAAGAGTTTTTATTTCAATTTACTCTTCTTCTTTTTTTATTATTATTATTTTTTTATAATTTATTTTTCTACATTCTTGTTAGCAAACATGTTGAACTGATTTATTATTATTATTATTTATTCTTACGATAATTCTTTTGAATTGGCTCTTTTGTTGGGGTTTTAATTTTATCTTTTGCTTCATTTGTTCATAGATGTAGATGATATCATGATCTTTGGGCGTGTCCAATACTCCAGTCTTCCCATGGACATAAGCTTTGATGAAGTGCATTAGGGAAAAGGTCTAATGGGTAAGGATGGCAATTTCCTTTGCCCCGCTGGGTTTTTGCCCCGCCACGTCCCTATTGGGACAGATTTGGTAGCCCCTAAATGGGAGTAGGGGCGGATGTAGTATTTTAATGTAAAGCTTGACCTGAGTCCAAGCCAGGGACGTGTTTAGTGTCACCACCACCCCGATTATATACGTGCCCCTTTGAATTGCATTAATACCCTTATTCTATTAAAATATTTGTATATCAGTCTCTCATATATATATATATATATGTTTATTTTAGCTAGGGTTAGTGCGGCCCTTCACTCTTCACTTCTTCATAAACATCTAGAGAGAGATGAGAGACACAATGACACACAAACCCTAGCGCAACTACCAGTTTGCCGCTGAAGACTGAAGAGACGCCGACCGGCCTAATGGTAATCTGAAGCTTCGATGACGTCCGGCCGATGGTGATCTAAAGCTACGACACTGTCAGTACAGTACTCACACCTTGCTCGTCACCGAAGCACCAACCTTCTCATGATCTCATTTGATCTATCCCTCTGTCTGTCCTCACGGTAGTCAGATTTGATTGTCACTGGCACTGCAACCCTTACATCTCAGACCTCAGACTAACAGTCGTTCCTCACTCCTATCCTCTGGTACATTGGTGCTCTCTAGTAAAAAGAAGTTCCACTACATTTCCTTCGATATCACCAGGGTGATCTCGCGCCTCCGCCTTAACCTTTCTTTGGTATCGTCTGTTTCACGGTGTCTTTGAATATATTTGATCCATTAGCACATGAATGTGTGTGTGTATAATGTATATATACATATACATATATTGGTATATGTTTTTCTTTTTTTTTTTTGATAAGTATATATTGGTATATGTATTATATTTTACCTTCCAACTTGTAATTATCTGTATTTATATATATATATATATATATATATGTGAAGGAATAGAGGAAAGAAGAGGTGTGGTGGTTGCACCATTGTGGGGAAGTATTTGAGGTGGAGAAGTTAGTTTGTTCAATTTACGCTTTTTATATTTATGTTGACAAGTTAAATGGTTAAAACGTAATTTTATATAGTCTCAGAGGCCTGGAAGGGGTATCAATACACAATTTTGAAACATCAAGGTATCAATGTAAAAATCATCCGTTGAGTTGCGTTAACCGAAATCTCAAGGGGGTGGCAGTGTAATTTACCCAAATAATTAAAAGTGAAAAGAAAAGTAATTAAAAAAAACGAACTACAGTCTCCCAATTAAAAACACACTCAAGCTCATACTCAAGTTCAGTCGTCTCTCTCTTGGCCCTCTTGCGCCAAAAATACAAATCAAACACCACACCATCAGTAAGTACAAGTCCCCTCTTTCTCTCTCTATACTTTTTTTTGATAGATTCTCTCTCTCTCTCTATACATACACATTTCTATGTCTATGTACTGTTTTGTGACGACGGATTTATGGTTTGCTTGCGATGGAGACAGCTAGGGTTTCTGGTTCCATTGTGCAGCGCTTGGTTTGTTGACCTAGGGTTTAATCTACTCTCTTTTACTTCGCTAGGTGCCGTAGTCGAAACGAAAGAGAAAACTGTATAAAAGGGTCTTTATGTAATATGCAGCGAATTACTGGTTTAGGTTCTAGTTTTTGGGTTAAGGTTCTTTCATCTGTAGATTGTAATCCATATTCTGTATAATGCATTTATATATAGAAACTGTCATTTGTCAATTTACGTTCCTTGCCTCTCCTGAACCCATATCCATGTCTCTATGCATCAATTGGTTCTTTTGTGGGTGTGATGAATTTGTACTTCCATTTGTGATTTTCGAAAATTTCAGTTTTTAATTAAGTTTATTGAAGAGACATTTGGGTGAATTTGCATTTATATTTATTGGATCAATGACGTAAGTTAGGCGAAGGCGTAAAGTTTGCAAATTTTTAAAAGTATGGGAGTGTATTTTGGTTGAGTTGATAGTTCAGGGGTACTTTGTCCCAAAGTGATAGCTCACATATATATGAATAAAATGGTCACGTGAACTCAGAGTTTTGCTCGATTTGCACTCATAATAATTTTGAACAAACAGTACCATATTGTTTTCTACTTCGAGTGTAAAACACAATAATGATTGATGAACATCTTCAAGTTAGGGTTTTAGCCTTTGTAAAC